TTACAATGTATAAGATAACATGGACAGGCGGATCTGATCTTAGATCAGCATTCCAAGCTGAGATGCTTTATGAATACGGGCTCTGGTCCCTAGCACAAACACACCCGTTCTGTTGTGGTAGGGCACATAGGTAGGGCCAAGAGTTTTTCCAGACTGTATGACCTGGCAAGTCATTAACTATCCCATAACCAGAGCCCAGAGTTTTTCCTGATCAGATCACATGGTCTGGAAAAACTCCTGGCCTAACTCGTAGGCTGCCAGACATACTGCTGTCTCTTTAGGCCTCAAGATATTTCTGTTCTCAAAATCTAAAAATAACTTTGACATGAATTGAGTGATAGATGAGGGGTATGCTTAAGGAGAGGAAGAACATGCTTCAACGTCAGTCCCCCAGGGTCCATTCTGATTATGTCAAACAAAATGCCTGAGTTTCAATAGTATGTCCTTCCTTTGACTATATTACTCACAATTATCATAATGAGTAATAGTGAATTATATGGACAATGATGCGATACACATACGTATGTCAGACACATATGTCATTCCCCCAGAGAGACCGAAGGTACTCATGTAATACATGATGTATGCTTTGAAGCATGGCATATGCCAGGGGTAGCTAGGCAACTAGATTCAGCCACGGGACGATTTTTGTCGGAGCGGATGGTTAATTATAATAATTTGTAAAGTACAAATTGACCACAACTAAGCCCAAAAAGAGATTGTATTTGAAAATAACAATGTCATACCTTCATTACATTGAGACACGATCACATATTTCTGTCTTCTTTTTTTGTGGGAATACTTGGGAACAGATTTAGTAAATTAAACTCATTTTAGCTGAATTCCTGATGATTTCTAGTCTCTTTTGACCAAAAACCAAAACGTTTCTGTTACTGAAAAACTTTGGGGGGGCAAATTAAATTAAACGAGGGCTGATTTTGGCCCGTGGGCCGCCTGTTGCCAACCCCTGCCGTATTATCAATGTGTAAGAGAAAATATCCTTTAAATCCATACGGCACAGGCTTGGGATGGACTGAATGGAGTAGTGTTACAGTGGTCCCAACTGACACACATCCACAGAATCCACACATCTCCCCCCATATAGATGTATGTTTGTGCTATTCCTGACTTGCCCCTGAGGCATGGCTCATTCCACTCTAACAAGGGATATGGGGGGAGATATATAAAATGCAAGGGCGCAATTTATTTTGCGAGAGATGCCCCTCAGGCCAAATGCAGATGGATACACACTGTGGGCCAGCTATCTAAAATGCAGCGAGAGAGAGAGAGCGATTCCTATAAGGCCTAAAGTGAAGAATATGGGAGAGTGAAGATTTACAAAACTCTGAAAGCAGTAACAAGACCTGTGGAGGAGTCTGTCTCTCTCACAATTTCAATTATTTGCAAAGCCCATAGAGCAGACCAATATATACTACCAGACTCACTTCAGAAATATTTTGCTGATTGGCCCTATTCTCATTCAATTGTAGATGTAATGTCCCACGTTAGACGATCACGTTTCCCCATATTTAAAGATTTGATTGATCCAATGGGAGCTCCTGCACTATCCAGTAATTTAATCGCTGGAAAGCACATACGACACTCAGGCTGTAGCATTGACCTACCTCTTTACCCAGACAATGCAATTTGACCTATGGTCTGCTCCTGCTTCATAGCATAGTTATGTTGCTATGGTTAATGGAGAATCCAGGGAGAAACCATTCTCACAGTAGGGGTCCCAGCTCCAGCTCCTTAAGTATAGATGCCTGTGGAGACATCCCAGGCAGTGGAACCACCCCCTGGTGTGTGCAAATGGAATGAGACCAGGCACTGGGGTAGCCATATTGCTCCTTGTTTTTCAGAGACCTCAAGAGAGAAAAATAATCAACTGTGGGAAGTTGGAAAAAATGTACAAAACCAATTTAACCAGGAAACGAATCTAGTGTTTGCTGTATGCCCCTCACTGCTTTATGGTTATTTTACTGAGTCAATCAAATCATGTTGTGCTTTATCTTAGTGGTTAGAAGACACATTGAATTGACACGTATATTCAAACTCTTCATAGAACACCAAGACTCATCACAATAGATGAATTGACACGAATGACTGAATAAATGAATGAACGAACTAACGAACAGACGAATAAACTACTAAGTGTATCATCCTTTCTGTATCTCCTTCCCCTGTTCCAGAGATGATCCGTTCAGCCACTCCCTTCCCCCTGGTTAGTCTCTTCTTCTTGTTCATCGGTTTTGTCCTGAGTAACATCGGACACATCCGGCCCCATCACACCATCCTGGCCTTCATCTCCGGAATCTTCTTCATCCTCTCAGGTAAATGACCTCATATCACTTCTGTGAATGCATTTAGTTGAAACAAGAAATCCTTCACATTATTTACTGAGTGTAAGTGCCAGTTTCCTGGACACAGATTAAACCTAGTCCTGGACTAATAAACGATTTCAATGGAGAATCTCCATGGAAAATGTGTGTTAGTCCTGGACTAGGTTTAATCTGTGTCCAGGAAACTGGTTCAATATGGTTTAATTTTAAATCCCCAGGACACATTCTTTGTTGTATCATCTAGTAGGGAATCGCATGCACAATTATTATTGGCAATACCATAGAATGCAGCTCTTGTTGCATAGCAACAGGAAATTGGGGTCCTGTATCAGTGATCATGACTGCTGGCACACCATGACAGCTATACTATTTATTTATATTTCTAATGTAATGTTGCATATCATAAACATACTGGACAAGTACGTACATGTATCACCATAGAATTAGAACATCCTGCTTATCCATCAGAAATACAGAAGAATCTGTATTCTTCCTATCAGTCTGTCTCTCTTTCTCTTAAACACACTCTCGTCTCTCTCTCTCTCTTCCCCCCCCATCTCTCTCTCTCCATCCCTCCTCTCTCTCTGCTAGGTCTGTCTCTGGTGGTGGGCCTGGTGTTGTACATCTCCAGTATTAATGATGAGATGTTGAACAGGACCAAGACCAATGAGGCCTACTTCATCTACCAGTACGGCTGGTCCTTCGCCTTCGCTGCCATCTCCTTCCTGCTCACTGAGGTAACTTCCTCCTTGCTTCTTCATTACATTGTAGGCCCAATCCCAAATCCACCCGCATAGCCTAACCTACCCCTAGAGCCTATGCATTTTGCTTACACCTGTCAATGTAGAGTACATAGGGCAGCGTTTCCCAAACTCGCTCCTGGGGACCCCAAGGGGTGCACGTTTTGGTTTTTGCCCTAGCACTACACAGCTGATTCAAATCATCAAAGCTTGATGATTAGTTGATTATTTGAAACACCTGTATAGAGCTAGGAAAGAAAAAAACCAAAACGTGGGGTCCCGAGGACAGAGTTTGGGAAACTCTGACATAGGGAATGGGGTCTAGGGGTTGATGTAGATCAAATCTTTTACGCAATGATACCCACATTCTTAAGTCTGTTGATACAGATCAGCGGAAATCTAGGTTGATTGGGGAATTAACTGCTCCTCATTAGGCATTCATAGAAAGGCACAAGGCACAACCTTGCAGTTGTGATATAATTTGTTGAAGAGGATACTGTATGTTATCCTGCTCTCTTACTGTCATCTATCTCCAGACAGCCGGTGTCATGTCCGTCTACCTGTTCATGAAGCGCTACACGGCCGAGGAGATGTACAGACCCCACCCGGGCTTATACGAGCCGCGCCACAGCAACTGCTCCGACTACTCTGGTCAGTTCCTGCACCCGGACACCTGGGCCCAGCGCGGTCGCAGCCCCTCCAGCATCTCCAGCGAAGCCTCGCTCCAGATGAACCACTCCCTCCATTCCAACTACCCAGCGCTCCTCAAGTGTCCCGAGAACAACCACATGTCCTCCTCCCCATGCTGAGGCCAATGTGAAGCCCTGGAGCCTGGGCAGCGGGTTGCACACACATCCCCAGGAAGGGAGAGTCTGGCTGGGTTGCTGAGTTGGTAGACTAGGTTGGTCGGTCTGGAAGAAGGCGATTTGGGGGCTGATGGGGAGGCGCCTAGGTTGCGTTTTGTGAGAGAGGGGTGGCGTATCTTTTTCCACGTGTGTGACGGCCTCTTTTGAAGTCCTCTTGTAGTGCAGTTTTGACACATTTGGGAGATGGCGACCCCCATAAACCGACCTTCCCTCTCTGGTTTTACTCAATGTACATTAGAAGTAGTGATTCTCTATCAGACCTAGTTCACCTTCGCCATACAGTACTTTCTCCATCTTGGTCAATAGAGAAACCGATATCTCCCAGGTAACCCTCATAGGACTTCTGTCAACTGTATAACTTGTAAGATAATATGATAATATAAGTGGGGAGATTGAAAGTGAAACGTTCTCTCTTTATTATTTTATCTTGATTCTATTTATTATGACTATGTGGTTAAATCATACTGCCAGAGAGCAGAATGTTTATTACAAGTATTTGATCAATTAGATTCTTTTTTCATCGTCCATCTCACGCTCAGCACTGTTGTACTGTTAATGAAGACACAGAGATAAAGTTGGTATATATTTGAATGGAAAGAAACCAGGAAGCTACTACTACGCCCATGGAGTCCAAATTGAGTCCCTGCAGAATAACAGTATGTACATAATGCAGTGAAAAGGAGGGAATAAAGGGATGATGAAGCTAAAGGAGAAAGAAAAGAACGGATAGTGTGTAGCCTCAAAACATGGTTTGATAGTCATTGAGACCATCAGATATGGAGAGCCAGTTTGAATGTAATGTTGCTGATGAAGAATGCAAAGTCGATATAAGCGAATCATGATTTTGCTGTTAATAGTGCACCAGGAACATATACCTGTACAAGAATACTGCTCTTTGGCAATGGAGTAAATCACTGGAAACGTAAAATGTATATGTAAAACAAGTTTTCTATCAGATTGCATATTCATACAAAGTATACAGTGACATAGTCAGATGCAAGCTGTTTGGCCTTGGTGTCTAGTGTGTATCCCAAATGGTACCCTATTCCCTATGTAGCAAACTACTTTTGGCCAGGGCTGCCATTGGGAATTTGACATTGATAAAGGAAATACCCTGTATGGAGGAATATAAAAAAATCTTACGCTGTAAAATGTAGTAACTTGAAAATACATCTTGTATCATATACATTATATATTTAAGCTACAGCATTTATGCCATAGTTACACCTCATTAATAGTTCCATCTCTGTACATTTTTAAAGTCAATTATAAATGTATAGAACACAATTATTGTCGATGTTCAATGTTGCGACTGATGTTAGTAATTGTTATTTATGAACAATATTACATTTTTTCTTGTTCGGTAGTCTCATTGACAGCCTAGAAGTTTCTATCCACAGTGCGCAACATGATAAATATAAGATTAGCTATAGCTAAGATTGCAAGTGGAGAAGAGTGTGGCTAAAATCTAAAAACATCCGATAGTGTTATGGTTGTTCAATAGGCAACATTTCTACATTGGATCTCCATGAAATACATGTTTCCACTTGATTGCTTTGTTCAGTTTGAAGGATAAGTTATATATTTTGAGAAAAAATCTAAACGTTAAAACTGCCAAACAAATATGAAATATTTTGTACATTCTATTTGTGTTAACACTGTATTTAATCATAAACATCTACATAGACTGAAATAACTTTTATATAGACTACTACATGTGTAAGTTATAACCATCTGGATGTTCTACTCATTAGTAGCCATGCTAGTCCCGTGTAGCTCAGTTGGTAGAGCATGGCGCTTGCAACGCCAGGGTTGTGGGTTCGATTCCCATGGGGGACTAGTATGAAAAAAGTATGTAAGTCAATGTAAGCCATAGAACCATTCAGCTACACAGTATATCTATTATGCCTGTGATTATAGCTGCTTTGCCTCGTGCATCGCATATTGAGAATGTGAGCTTTTTAATTTGTTGTAATACACAATGTTTTAGAAAAGATTCAAGTCAGAGAAGTCAATGGCGATGTCGAAATATTTTTTTTACAAAGAGTAATTTTCATGATGTTCGATGTGCAATCTACTGTATTATATCTCTGTTGAAAATAAATAAAAACTGCTGTATTTGATGAAGTACCTCAAGGCTGAACTTCTTGTCTCTTAAAATATATGAATGTATCCACTTCATACTACACTGCACTACAAGAGACAGATTATCTCAAATCAAATTGTATTTGTCACATGCTTGGTAAACAACAGCTGTAGACTAACAGTGAAATGCTTACTTATGGGTCCTTCCCAACAATGCAGAGAGAAACAAATAGAAATAATAGAGGAATAAATACACAAAGAGTAACGATATGTGTAACGATTATCTGTTGATTTTGTGTGATGTGCTACACATCGTCTCCCTCTAGTATAGTGGTTCCCAACCAGGGGTACTAGGACCATAGGCCTACTGTTAAAAAGCACGAGGGAGTACTTCAGGGGTACTCTGGGCAGAGCAAACTTCAGTTGGTGGTACAGTAACCAAAAAAGGTTTGGGGGGGGTGGGGGGTGGGGGGGGGGGTGGAGTAAAAGGGGGTGGGGGTAGAAGGATTACTTTATCCTATCCCAGGTATTCCTTAAAGAGGTGGGGTTTCAAATGTCTCCGGAAGGTGGTGAGTGACTCCGCTGTCCTGGCGTTGTGAGGGAGATTGTTCCACCATTGTGGTGCCAGAGCAGCGAACAGTTTTGACTGGGCTGAGCGGGAACTATGCTTCCGCAGAGGTAGGGGAGCCAGCAGGCCAGAGGTGGATGAACGCAGTGCCCTCGTTTGGGTGTAGGGACTGATCAGAGCCTGAAGGTACGGAGGTGCCGTTCCCCTCACAGCTCCGTAGGCAAGCACCATGGTCTTGTAGCAGATGCAAGCTTCAACTGGAAGCCAGTGGAGTGTGCGGAGGAGCGGGGTGACGTGAGAGAACTTGGGAAGGTTGAACACCAGACGGGCTGCGGCATTCTGGATGAGTTGTAGGGGTTTAATGGCACAGGCAGGGAGCCCAGCCAACAGCGAGTTACAGTAATCCAGATGGGAGATGAGAAGTGCCTGAATTAGGACCTGTGCCGCTTCCTGTGTAAGGCAGGGTCGTACTCTCCGAATGTTATAGAGCATGAACCTACAGGATCGGGTCACCGCCTTGATGTTAGCGGAGAACGACAGGGTGTTGTCCAGGGTCACGCCAAGGCTCTTCGCACTCTGGGAGGAGGACACAACGGAGTTGTCAACCGTGATGGCGAGATCATGGAACGGGCAGTCCTTCCCCGGGAGGAAGAGCAGCTCCGTCTTGCCGAGGTTCAGCTTGAGGTGGTGATCCGTCATCCATACTGATATGTCTGCCAGACATGCAGAGATGCGATTCGCCACCTGGTTATCAGAAGGGGGAAAGGAGAAGATTAGTTGTGTGTCGTCAGCGTAGCAATGATAGGAGAGGCCATGTGAGGATATGACAGTGCCAAGTGACTTGGTGTATAGCGAGAATAGGAGAGGGCCTAGAACTGAGCCCTGGGGGACACCAGTGGTGAGAGCACGTGGTACGGAGACAGCTTCTCGCCACGCCACTTGGTAGGAGCGACCGGTCAGGTAGGACGCAATCCAAGAGTGAGCCGCGCCGGAGATGCCCAGCTCGGAGAGGGTGGAGAGGAGGATCTGATGGTTCACAGTATCAAAGGCAGCAGACAGGTCTAGAAGGACAAGAGCAGAGGAGAGAGAGTTAGCTTTAGCAGTGCGGAGAGCCTCCGTGACACAGAGAAGAGCAGTCTCAGTTGAATGACCAGTCTTGAAACCTGACTGGTTTGGATCAAGAAGGTCATTCTGAGAGAGATAGCAAGAGAGTTGGCTAAAGACGGCACGCTCAATAGTTTTGGAGAGAAAAGAAAGAAGGGATACTGGTCTGTAGTTGTTGACATCAGAGGGATCGAGTGTTGGTTTTTTGAGAAGGGGTGCAACTCTCGCTCTCTTGAAGATGGAAGGGACATAGCCAGCGGTCAAGGATGAGTTGATCAGCGAGGTGAGGTAAGGGAGAAGGTCACCGGAGATGGTCTGGAGAAGAGAGGAGGGGATAGGGTCAAGCGGGCAGGTTGTTGGGCGGCCTGCCGTCACAAGTCGCAAGATTTTATCTGGAGAGAGAGGGGAGAAAGAAGTCAAAGCATAGGGTAGGGCAGTGTGAGCAGGACCAGCAGTGTCATTTGACTTAACAAACGAGGATCGGATGTCGTCAACCTTCTTTTCAAAATGGTTGACGAAGTCATCCACAGAGAGGGAGGAGGGGGTGGTGGGGGGGGGGGGGGATTCAGCAGGGAGGAGAATGTGGCAAAGAGCTTCCTAGGGTTAGAGGCGGATGCTTGGAATTTAGAGTGGTAGAAAGTGGCCTTAGCAGCAGAAACAGATGAAGAGAATGTAGAGAGGAGGGAGTGAAAAGATGCCAGGTCCGCAGGGAGTCTAGTTTTCTTCCATTTCCGCTCGGCTGCCCGGAGCCCTGTTCTGTGAGCTCGCAATGAGTCATCAAGCCACGGAGCTGGAGGGGAGGACTGAGCCGGCCGGGAGGATAGGGGACATAGAGAGTCAAAGGATGCAGAAAGGGAGGAGAGGAGGGTTGAGGAGGCAGAATCAGGAGATTGGAGGGAGAAGGATTGAGCAGAGGGAAGATATGATAGGATGGAAGAGGAGAGAGTAGCGGGAGAGAGAGAGCGAAAGTTGCGACGGCGCATTACCATGTGTGTAGGGGCAGAGTGAGTAGTATGGAGGAGAGGGAGAGAGAAAAGGATACAAAGTAGTGGTCGGAGACTTGGAGGGGAGTTGCAGTGAGATTAGTAGAAGAACAGCATCTAGTGAAGATGAGGTCAAGCGTATTGCCTGCCTTGTGAGTAGGGGGGGACGGTGAGAGGGTGAGGTCAAAAGAGGAGAGGAGTGGAAAGAAGGAGGCAGAGAGAAATGAGTCAAATGTAGACGTAGGGAGGTTGAAATCCCCCAGAACTGTGAGGGGTGAGCCATCCTCAGGAAAGGAACTTATCAAGGCGTCAAGCTCATTGATGAACTCTCCAAGGGAACCTGGAGGGCGATAGATGACAAGGATATTAAGCTTAAATGGGCTAGTGACTGTGACAGCATGGAATTCAAATGAGGAGATAGACAGATGGGTCAGGGGAAAAATTGAGAATGTCCACTTGGGAGAGATGAGGATTCCTGTGCCACCACCCTGCTGACCAGATGCTCTCGGGGTATGCGAGAACACATGGTCAGACGAGGAGAGAGCAGCAGGAGTAGCAGTGTTTTCAGTGGTAATCCATGTTTCCGTCAGCGCCTAGAAGTCGAGGGACTGGAGGGTAGCATAGGCTGAGATGAACTCTGCCTTGTTGGCAGCAGAACGGCAGTTCCAGAGGCTGCCTGAGACCTGGAACTCCACGTGGGTCGTGCGTGCAGGGACCACCAGGTTAGAGAGGCAGCAGCCACACATATGGAGCTGATTCAGACCCAAGTGATGCGTACTTTAATGGAACTTAATTTCCTTTTCATGCACATTTCTCTCTATGCATATTCTGACCTTGAACTTAGGCATGAGCTAAATCAATGGTGTACATTCAACTCTGAGATTGTAAAATGTACACTATTTGCAGTGAACATATGAGTCCCACTGTACTGGTGTTCAAAAAACACTTTTGGAGTGTTAAAAATGTAACTCTGTTGCAGTGGTCCCCATTTGACCCTTAAAGTGTTCAAAGGCACTTATCTTTGTGTAGCATAAGATTAATCGATCAATGTACATGCAAAAACACAGATGTTTAAAACAATCCCCCCAAAATAAATTAACAGAGCGAACATCATCCACCTTTTCAAGATCCAAATGATGACTTCAGTACAGACATGCAGAAGATGGGGAGCTGTGGCACTGTGCCTCTGTACTACACTGCCATCTAGTGTTGGTTATAGAAAGATACAAGTTAGAGCTGCATCTACAGTAGCATCATTCAGTCTCACTGGAAAAACATTATTTCATCTACTTTGTGATCATTCTATACTTAC